TTGGGTGGCCATTTTAATTTATTGCTTATATATTTTTATGAATTAATTTTTTTATTAAAAAATCAAGCAGATTGAGTATGAACTGAGAAGTCCATGGATTGCTCGGTTGGATCATCTTGAACACAGAATGTGGATTGAACAGAAAGACTCGAATGCTTGCTGGATGGGCAAGGCATCCTTTCATAGGTTTGGATCTTTCTCTCTTGTCTTTACAGATAAATACATGCATAAATATATTTATGAACGTAAATTTATGGGTATTACTAATGTTATAAATAATAATTGCTAAAAACAGGTTATCAACTCTTCAAAACAACAAGCTTATCCAACTCGCTACAAAAAACTTCGAGTATCGACAATCGATATTCAAAAATGAACTCGATCATCATCTAAAAGGGTAAATAAATATCACAAAATATCTATGTATTTACTCAAATATATATTCAATTATTACCCCCAAAATAATATTTTTCTTTACTGGCGGTTTCAATTGTCGTGAAAAAGGTGGACAACAAAGTGGGGATTTGATAAAATGAGATTTGCTCGGGAGAAAACCACAGATTGCTACTTCGCTTTTGCGGCCTCCAATGCGCTAGACCATTACTCCAATGTACGAATCATTCTTACCAAGGCAGCAATCCTCATCACAGTTGCCGACGATTTTTTTGACATGGAAGGTTCTTTACATGACTTGCAAATCCTTGCTGATGCAGTTCAAAGGTGTATATATATATATATATATGTATGAATTAATTTTTTAAGAAATATTTTTGGGTTGATTAAATTGAAATAATAACATTATTATACATTATAAAATTCCAGATGGGATTCTAATGGCTTGACTGGCCACAGCAAGAAAATCTTCAATGCACTTGATGATCTTGTTACAGATTTTGCAGCAAAATATCTCCAATGCCAAGGGATTGATATAACCAACCATGTCCGGGATCTAGTAAGATTTAGTTTCTATGAACATATATAAATTTATGAGAATATTTTGTTTTTGACATGCCACATTTTATTGGCTAGTGGAGAGAAACATTCATGTCATGGCTGACAGAAGCTACATGGAGCAAGACCGGATGTGTACCATCCATGGATGAATACCTGCAAACTGGCATGATTTCCATTGCTGCACACACTTTAGTTCTTCCAGCTGCATGCTTCTTGAATCCAAGCTTACCTAATGAAATATTCAAGTCATTCTCTTATGAATATCAGACTCTTACCAAGTTAGTAATGTTGATATGTCGTTTGTTGAATGATACTCAAAGCTATCAGGTAATTGACTAATTAATGGGGTAATCAGTATAATATACATATACATAGCTATATAGTTCCAGAAGCATTATAATGTCTACTAATGGAGCTTACACCATTGCAGAGAGAACAGGAGCAAGGCAAGTTAAATTCAGTGTTGCTCCATATGAGAGAGAATCCAGATGTTAAGATTGAAGACTCTGTGTCATATGTTAAAGATATAATTGATAAAAAGAGCAAAGAGTTCCTTGAACACGTTTTAATGGACGATCTAAGTGACATGCCTAAATCATGCAAGCAACTCCATTTATCGATTTTCAAAGTGTTCCAAATGTTTTTCCACTCCTGCAATCGATTTGATACAGAGACGCACATAGACATTCTTCAAGACATCCAAAAAGCAATTTATCTTCCTCTAGCTGTTCAACCTTCAAAGCCATGGAAGCAGCAGTCTTTTCCTCGACTTTCTCATCATGTGAATTCTGGATCGAGGAAAGATTATCATCCAAGAATCAACTCTCGCATTGCTTTACCCTTCAAGTGTTGGCGTATAATAACAAAATATCTTTGCCCAAAAATTTCATTTGAATGCCTCTATTTTGTTGCAAAGCCTTTTAAACTTTTATTTTATTTAAAGAGTTTAAATCTTTGAAATTTTGAAATAAAATTTCAATTTGAAAGATGTACTAATTACAAAATCTTTAAAACGTTAATTTTGTTAAATTTAATATTTATTTCATATCTTATATATTTATGAAATTTTAGATTTAAAGATCACGTATATTCCTACATATATATATTGATGTAAATTTTATTTTACAAAAATTACGTTGCATAGCCATGTTAGAGTTCAAATAATATGAAAATAATGGTCTAACTTGGATTAACAATGAGGAATTAATTTAAACATTTTTTGAAATTAAAATTTTATTTAAAAAAGAAAAATAATAAAGTACTATTTAAATAAATACAAAGCATCGTACTCAAACATGTTAGACAATCCCAGTACACAATGGTGAAGATGCTAATTGATTGATTTGAATTCAAAATTCAAATTAATACAAATTTAATCCGATCTTTAGGTCAAATTTTTATTTTTATTTGATCTTAAGTTTAGTCTCGTTTGATATGGTATGGTCGAGTATTGAATCAGTGCTCACCGATATGTTATGCTAACTTCTCAATCTGGTGAAACAATGAAAATAAGAAATTTTTTTAAAAGATTTAAGAAAAAATTAAAGAAACACAATCAAATATTATTTACATAGTTAATTATTTTTAAGCTAAAAACAATAATTGTTGACATTATTAATTTGGTAGTTTTATAAACTATAAGTTATTAAAAATTATAGTTAAAAATTATAAAATTGACGTTGTCAATTTATCATATTCCCGATATATATCATGTTCTTAATCACAACATGCAGGATATAATCATTTTGCAAAAATATATAGAATTAACAAAATTTAAGATAAGATCATGAAAATAATATTTAATTAACAAATTTTAAAATGAGATTGTGAAAATAATATTAGCAGAGTATGGAAGATTAAAATGATAAAAAAAAAAAAAAAGAAAATTAATGGACAAAAACAGTAATTAAACTCGAATTAAAATATTTGTTTACTTTCTCATTCAATTGATTAATATCAATCCTAAAATAAATATAAAAAAAAAATCACTAATCCAATTTTAATATTAATAAGATTTCTAATTGTCTTTCTCAGTCTTCATATTTTTCTATACACGAATAATCATGAAATTTACAGATCTACCTTAATTGCTAGATATTACATTTCCTTTTATATTAGAATTGAAGAATATAAGTAATATTTAAAAATATTACATTCTTAGGAAAAAAAAAAAAGAAGAAAAATCTATATACTTTATAATAATTCTAATCACAGGAGATAGTATCAGAGATAGTTAAAAATCTCTTACTAATAATAAAAATTTCTTGAATTCTGTAAATCTTGAACAATGAAACCTACTCAAGCGAGATCTGGAGACATATTTATGAAAGAAGATCAACAAGATCTAACAAAAGACATCAAAAATAGGTGAGTCATCAAAGAAACCTTGATAGGTTTGAAAGCTTTTATTTCTCACTCTCTCTCTCTCTATTTTTTTACACGTCGTTTAAATGAGCAAAAGACGTTTATATATATCATTAAGTAAAACAAGTAAACATACACATGCATCACATATAATTATTTCCATTAAACCCTAATAAATCAATAAACATATAATACATCGAAATCTTTTTTTAATGAGAATCTGCACTTTTTTTTACGGCTCTTCTCTCGAGTTGGTTTAAGTTATTTTTTCAATATTCTTCTACAAGATGAAGAGTAGATGTTTCCAATTTCATCATGAATTAATGATTATGCAGTTGTCTACTGGGAAGTATCTTAATCTCTTATCCCTATGTGTTTGGTTTCGATGCTCTATTGTGCACCTCTCAAATTACATGGCAGTGTAATTCAATGTGTTTAGTGTAATTCAATGTGTTTAGTTCTTTTATAAAAGACAAGGTTAGCTACAATGTGTATTACAGTTTTGCTATCACAATGCAAATTAACAATCTACGAATACTTAACATTCAGATGATTCATGAGATATTTTTCCCAGTCAGTGCATAACTAATCTCATCATTGTTATATATTTTGCTTCTACTCAAGAATGTGACGTTATCCACTACTTTTTAAATTTCTAAGATATTAAGGAAGACTAAAAAAAAAATACAATATTCAATTATGGATCATCGTGTGTCTGAACAAACCTTTTAATAATTATTTCAAAAGGCATTAGTCTGCAACTCTAAATGGCACAAGTAGAACAGGTCTTGTCTTAGAGAGTGCTTAATATACTTTAAAATCTTATAGGCTGCATCTAGATGTTTATCTCTTGATTATTCTATGAATTAATTCAAAAATATGCACAAAATAAGATAAGTATAGTCTTGTGAGAATCAAGTACATAAGTCTCCCAATTAGCATTTTGTACATGCTATCATTGGAAATAGGAGTTCCATCTTCTTTGGATAATTTGAGATTTTGACAAAGCAGCAACCTTGAAGTCCTTCCACCCAAAGTTCCTGAATCTTACAACAAGTTCGAAGCATATTTTCGTTAGCAAGCATAAATCTCTCTCTTAGAACATGCCACCTTGATCCTAAAGAAATACTTTAACCTAGCTAACTGACCTAAATTAATCATTTAACTAATGATTTTGTCATCTTTTATCCTCTTCATGGTCTAGTACTTTATTTTTATTTTATATTAGAGGCTTTTTTATGATTAGTGCACTATTTATATATTATTGGGAATGAATGC